AGAAATGTTTAAAACCAAAGAGAGCGGACTCACCGAGTGTTGGAAGATGTCCCCTATGTCGGCCTCCAGCTTCAGCTCGTGGCCTCCGTCACCCGTCCCATCCCCGGAGGACACTGGCTGAACGAGTTTCGTCGTCGTCGTCGTCGTTGCTGTCGTTGCTGCGAACGTCGTCTTCGTCGTCTTGGTACCGGCCGACGCCGTAGCCGTCAGAATTACGGACGTGCTTGGATGTATGTGTACACGTGTGTGTGCGTGTTTGTTTGCGCGTGCGTGCGTGCTTGTGCGAAGCTCGTGACGATGGCAGCTCAGCGCCTCGTCACGGGGTTCCTGAGCTCGGTCAAGGCCGAATTCTGTTCGGGGAATCCCCTACTCCCTTTTTCCGCGACACACGACGTCTCGTTGTCGCTGCAGATTCTCCGAGTCCCGCGGATTCCAGGATCTCTCTGAGCACGACGCCAAATCAGCTTCAAAACACTGGGACGTCCGTCCGTTCGAATGTCCAACGCGAATTTATATCTATCTGACGAGAGCGTGCGGTCACTTAGACAGCTGCTGCTGTTGTCGCCGTGGCTGATTCCACATCCTGTTCGAGCGGACTTCCAAAAAGCATCGAAAGGTTCAAGTGCGCTGAGCACACACCGCAGGTGAGAGACGAGAGAGTTGAGAGCGTCCGCTGCGAGCGAAGGACCCCAACTGACAGCGCTGCTTCGTCTGCGAGTCACTCTTGCTTCACTCAAAGGGGCCCGAAACTCAGAGCGGGGGTACACGTATACAAACCACCTGCTCGACTAAGGTGCCAACTACACACCGTCAGAGAGACAACACGGATGCAACAATAACCCGTACGACAAGTACCTTTGTCCTGTTCAAATATAGGTTTATTGGCCACGAATGTTCACAGGGGGTCTTATAATGTTCTATCACTGCTATTCTTTTGTATATATATATATTTTTATTTTTTTTTAATTTTTTTTTTAAACCACAAAAAAACGTTTCCTAGTAGGTTGTCGTCGCATTCACCGGGGTAATACTGTCTTTTTTTTAAAGTGTTGCCACTTCTCTGTCAACAAGATCGCACAGTTCTGAACCAAACCTGAACGTGGGAAGTCCTCAGCCGTACACGACAACTATCGGCAGGAAAAGCTGAAGCAAACATAAGAAGAATGATTCACATTACTGAAATTCTTGTGATGACATTAATCATGGGACTTCCAGTCACTTTTTTTTTCTATGCTCTTCTCTGCCAATAAACAATCGCGGTAAGAGTGCATAGCAGACCTCAACAGCCCTTTTTGGTCAGAATGAACAACTCTCTCTCTCTCTCTCTCTCTCTCTCTCTCTCT